CACGCTTGAGGTATTCGGCCAATCACAACGCACTGGATAGCTGGCCAATCACAGCACACCTTGCTTTTCAGACCGATGAGCTTTGTAAAAATCGCCACGTTTCAGAAAGGCGGGACATAGAGGAGAAACAATAATGTACAGTATGTGGAAAATAATGTGGTTTTTTTTACCTTAAATCGCATAGACACATTTCATTACACCAAATAATGTTATTTTTAGCAACATCATATGACCCCTTTAAGTGCATTAAATGGGGCTGTTTTTAAAATGGGCTGTAAATCAGCTGTCTGTCAGGGCTCTGCTCTGCTGGACACAGTGGCCTTGAGTTTGAGCCAAAAAGTGAATCTCAACTTGTTGTTGTTGTTTAACATACTGATACATTTTTGGAACATGCATAGAGCTTGATTTACCAACCTAACAATAATTCCCGACTAAACAACATAGTTGTTAAGATTAATATATTATATGCATAAATTCAACGTTAGGATGTTTCTTCTTACTTTTGAGATTCCGTCGTTAAGAGCATTGCAAGAAAGCACTAGAGAGAGAAAAGAAAGTTTAGTTAAGCATCTTCAAAATAACAACATTTCTTAAACACACACACAGGCTACATTTAATGTCATTTTTTAATTTTAATTAGGTCCATGGACATATTATTTGTAACAATATAATATAACAGGTGTGTGTTTACAGTTTTGACAGAAACGATCTCATTTGGCTAAAAGGGGCCAGCAATGTTTATTATGCTGAGAAAGTGTACGTCACCAACTCACCAAAGGAGAGCAGAGAGCAGCAGACATATATGAAACCGTGTCCAGCAGTATATCCAGACATTGCCTTGGGGGGCTTTAGCGTGCTAAGAAGCTCATGAGTATCACGCCGGCTGCAGAAAGATGGAACAAATACCGAATACGCCAGAATCGAGCCATAAAGCTAATAAGGTGCGCCCTCTACTGGTCAGCGGCGGCATGTAATGATTACGTCTCTGTACGTCTATGGCATTGATCGCTTGCTCCAGGTAAATATTTATTTAAATAATCCAGGTAATGAGATGGCCAGGATCTTACAATTTATTGACATTACATAGCAACAACTTATGCATAATGCATCCAAAACAGAGGTCTGATAGCATACCAAAGGCTGCTAACAACAAGGGTCGGACAACGGGCTATTCTGATCTGGTCTTTCACCTTATGTGCCTTTGAGCAAGTAAAATTCCCTGCTACTGGGGAACATGAGCTTTGAATGAATGCATTCTCTAAATGACAGACAGACAGACAGACAGACAGATAGACAGATAGATAGATAGATAGATAGATAGATAGATAGGCATTTGTCCTACACCATATTACCAATGGAGGGCGCAATAGACCTTCCTTACTTTCATTGCTCTGTACATCGCTCATCTCATGACCGCATGGTAATGTAAACAAGCTGCCGGCTAGCCTGGGTGTGGTGACGCAATAGTGTGTATTTTTTTTTTTAAAAAGGCCAACCTTCCATTGTTGTGAAGGTCTATTAATCATGTCAGGATTGTCATCGCTGAGAGATTACGAATGATGAACGAATGAAATCCAAGGCACTCATTTACAAAACACGTGTGTAATACAGTATGATAAATTAAATTGATTAATTTGAAAGAATTAAAATGGCATTGGTGGTCTTTCTGTTATTATATTGTATGATACAGTGTTTTGTTTCACGGATAATATTTAAATTGCAAGTTAAATTGCATTAAAAACAATCTGAGACACTTGGCTTATTTGTTAGTATATATTAATTATTTGGTATATTTATTACAATATTGTCAGGAATATAAAATGCTTAAAGTATTGAAACCGACAATGCAGAAAACAAATAGGGTGAGGTAATAAAGAAATATAAGGGGGAAATAAAAGATTTAAAATAAATAAATTAAAAGGAAGAAATACAGTGAGGATGAATTTATGTATAATGTGCTATATACAAAATATAAGGTGTAATGTTTATATAATAATGTGTAATGCAAAGTGTATGTAAAGTGTAATTAAAATATAATAGTATGTAAAGTGTAATTCTATCTAATGCGGTGAATATCATTAGCAAATTAGTTAAAGAAAATTAAATCAATGCTGTGGATGGCATCACTGCATAAAACGTGTTTGTATGCATTTGAATGAATAATCAATAGATAATTTAGTCGCGACCAATAGGTCAGCCAAAAGCGGTCTACGTAAACCATCACCGGGGGAAGCTGATAGAAATCAAGTATCACGGCGAATCTGACCCATCAGCAACCATGCTCTTTGTTGTCTAGGGAAGCATTGATGAGGGGCGGGGCTAATTTTACAACTCGGGAGAAGGCGGAGCCTCTGCTCCCAGCGCGACCACTGATTGGATTAGATTTTAGCCCAGCGACTGAGAAAGGATTTTCTAGCAAATAAGAAACGCCCCCACCCCGTGCCGGGAAACTAACTTCAAACAACAAATGTGAGAGTCTCGGCAGTCAGACAGTCACTCAGATACAGAGAGGTGCTGGAAACTTTAGCTTTATCCTAAGGTGACGTCCGCATGTTAATAAGACGTTTTGATAATTTGATTTAGATTAGGACCAAGTGGCTTTATTAATTATCCCATGACGAATGCAATACTTATGTAAAACTATTACAATCTTATCTTATAGTTTGCGTATTGACAGCCAGCTGAGCCGAACAGGTGGCGCGTGTGTCAGGTTCCGCTAAAGATTTAGTATTAGGGACAGGGGTTCAGATGTCCCATTCTCACAGAGGTCTTCTTAACAAGCAGTAACAGTAGATTCAGAAGACAACAGGTTTTGTTCAACAGGCGCAGGGATGCCCGATGCTGGAACAGACATGGGGATGGACAGCGAGAGGATTTTTGGGGCGAAAGCTCCGGCTCCCGTGGGCACAGAAAACACCCCTCCTTCGTCTCTGAGCAGCGGTCTTCCAGCTGATATCCTCCGAAACTTTTACCACACAAAAAGAGTTGGGAATTATCTGATCGGGAGGAAGCTGGGAGAGGGCTCGTTCGCCAAAGTGAGAGAGGGGCTTCACGCGATCACCGGCGAGAAGGTGAGAAGATTCCTCTCTTTGCAACATTGTCAGCTCGCTGATATCTAAATAACACTGTAAAAATGCATATTAATAGTGTTTTCAATATATAGGTATAGAATTCATTTATTGATATCATTATCTAAGCAAACGAAAACGAAATACAAAACATCCAGTCCAATAGTCTGAATCGAACCAAAACCAGGACTTGAATGCTGTTGCATTTGTCATTAACTACATTTAGACCTAGTTTAGCCATTTGTTCATATCACTGTCTGAATAAGGAATTGTTAGCTGAAGAAATAACACAACTTAAGTCTAAACTGTTGAATACATGACTTGAATGCAGTTGAATTTGTTATTTACAGCTAGATCATATATTTGTTTATCATTGTCTGAATATGAAAATTGTAAGTTAAAGAGAAATAACATCTGTCTAAATTGTTTTGGTCAAACCCCCCTCAGTGTCTATGGCAGGCAAAAGTAGTCTATGGACCATGACTTGAATGCTTTGTTGTATGTTATTTAGTGATTCATTCTAAAATAAATGTTTACTGTCAATGTTAAGTTAAAAGCTGGTTTATTTATTTTTTTAAAGTACCCAGAAGTCAGTTTATGTTGTCTTTGGGTGGCACCTTTGGCGAAGAATGTCAAAAACACCATCCCCTGATCATCAGGTAGAGCTTAGATGTTTCTCACTGGTCTCATGTTCCTCATCACAAAAATTAAATTAGGTAACGGAGACAATCCTTGAGCCTGTTTGCATTCAGGTGTCTGTATTAATCTTACACCAGAGAAAATGTGCAGCCATTCAGAATGAATGGAGAAATATTTCTTAACAGTTTTTCACTTCTATATATCAGCAAAATGTATGCTCAATATGTGATATCTAGTTTCCAGGGCGTGTTTATTTATTAACTATTTCTGTTGACTCTGAATGTCACTTTCTTCCTTGGAATGGCATGCTATGGGGTGCGGTTTCTGTTGGCATGTGGAAAAAAAATTGTTTGCTCTTGCAGTGAATAACCTGAAATACCTTCTTAACATATCAGGGATTTGTTCAGCCTTCTTGCCTCCTTTCACTGTTGCTGTGGGAAGGAGAAGAGGTCTGTCCCGGGCGATGATGCAAATGGCTAGCAATCACAAAGAGAAGTGAGGCTGCCTCGTGCTCCTCTTGTCTCCTGCCTCGCTCTCGTTCTCTGACATCACCTAGAAAAACAGACAGGGTGGGGCTCGGCTCACGATCGGTGGGCAATAGCACATGCTTCCCCCATGTATGTTGTGAGCATATCTAACCCACTTTCACCCTCGCCGCCTTTGTCTGCCAGAGAGAAAAACAACACGTTAGTCTGAGGCTCTGGGGGACCATCGACCACCAATCGCCCCCATCAACAATGCTGGCAAAACATGGTGGTTAAGATCCAGCAATGTCAGATTAGCATTTTAGGCGATTGTTTAGGGATGGGATTTGGACCCTTTTTTCTCTGTATGTCTTTTAATGTGCCCCTCAGTTGAAGTAAATGATCCAGTTATCTTCTTAATTGGCCATGTATGACTGGTTTGCTCAACAGTCTCTTTTTGTGCCTGATGATTTGTGGTGGCATGGCAGGTCACCCCTTGAACCCTCCTCGGGTCACGCTTGGGGCTCTTTGATAAAGGGTGGAACCAATAGCACCAGGCTATTGTTACAGCATACAGAGGGACTTTCAACCCAGGACAAAGAAATCCTGTTGGATAAAGAACAAATACAGCATTAGTCGTTTACAGCATGTTGGTGACAAATGGGTGGCATTAACAAGCCATTTGGAGATTCTTCCTTCAATTGGAGATGTTTGAACGGCTACACATCGGTCATTTGTCCTTATCCCTCCCCCACCAAGTCCTCTACAGGATCTCAGGGACGAACATTCAACCCTTGAGACGTGAGGAGACAGGCAAATAAGAGTCCTGTCTGGCTTAGTCTGGCTTGCCTAACCTGTTCAGGGCTATTATAATAATTCTGTACATCCACTAAACACCCCAGTTGTCTTTTATATATTGACTAAGTCTTCTTTTTTATTTTTCCCCACAGCTGGCAGTGAAAGTGATTGACAAGAGGAAGGCCAAAAAGGACTCGTATGTCACAAAGAACTTGCGGCGTGAAGGGGATATTCAGCAGATGATCCGGCACCCCAACATCACCCAACTGCTGGACATCTTGGAGACGGAGAACAGCTACTACCTCGTCATGGAGCTCTGCCCTGGTGGAAACCTCATGAACCACATTTACGAGAAGAAAAGGCTGGACGAAAGAGAAGCCCAGAAATATGTACGCCAACTAGTCATGGCGGTGGAGCACCTGCACAGGGCAGGAGTTGTTCACAGGTGAGGAACGAAGTGTGAAGTCATCGATGGGGAACTTTAAATGAGATTTTAAATGAGTGTAGATACTCCAAAGACTATTGTGTCTTTGTTTATTTATAGTTCAGATGGCTGGTTTGATAAATTAAGGTTGTTTAAATAAATTTTTCTTTTTTAATTTCAACAGAGACTTAAAGATTGAAAATCTCCTCCTTGATGAACAGGACAACATAAAGCTGATCGGTAAGCATTGTCCAGGATCTACATTATGCAAGGTTTTTAAATGCTACTTAAAGAACAGCACAAAGTCTCAATGAGTCCTAATGTCCTAAAGTGAAGTGACATGGAAGTGTTCATTTTTAGCAAGTGGTGAGGACTGACTGAGCAATCAGCATCTCATTAAAAACAAATGACCTCTCACCTCTTTGTGAGACGGCCCAAAAAACGCATGGCTTTTATTTAGCAGCTGTGTGTGACAGACGGGGTTAGTGTTGGGCAGCCATAAACCTTTTTGCACCCCTCCTAGTGGGAAAGTC